AATTATTCAGGCTCAGGTATGCTATGCAGCCTGTAGAATTCGATTGGAGTATGAAAAGGAGCTCCAGTTTTATAAGGAGTCTTGGCAGGTCAAGGGGACTTCCTGCCAGGAGCAAGCAAGAGCAATTGGAGTGCTGCAGGAAGAGTATGAAGAACTGCTTCACAAGCAGAAGAGCGAGTACCTGGAGGTGATTGCCCTCATTGAAAGGGAAAATGCTGAACTCAAGGCCAAGATGAGCCAGTTAGACCATCAGCAGAAGCGTCTGGAAGAGGTAGAAAGCAAGCACAGTGAGAGTATGTTTGCTTTACAGGGCAGATATGAAGAAGAGATCAGATGCGTGGTAGAGCAGCTGAACCGCACTGAGAACACACTGCAGGCTGAGTGTAGCCAAGTCCTGAGCCAGCTGGATGCCTCGGTCAGAGACAAGCAGGACATGGAGCGGCAGCATGTGCAGCAGATGCAGACACTGGAGGACAGGTTCCAGCTAAAGATCAAAGAGCTGCAGGTCATCCATGAAGAAGAGCTGAGGGCCCTGCAGGAACACTACTCACAGAGCCTTCAGCACCTGCAGGAGACCCTCAGCCTATGCCAGCAGCAGCAGCAGCAGCAGCCTGAGGCTCTGTCCACCACCTCCTTCCACTGGGAATCGGAGCCCAGAGCCACACCACATCAGGCTGCCCCTGGGGAGGCCGACTCCATGACAGGGCTTCGGGAGCGCATCCAGGAGCTGGAAGCCCAGATGGACGTCATGCGGGAGGAACTAGGCCAAAAGGACCTGGAGGGTGACTCGATCACGCTTCAAGAGAAGTACCAGCGAGACTTTGAGAACCTCAAGGTCCTCAGCACCATTTTCTTTATAAAAGTGATTCTCTTTGATGGGGGGATTGGGAGGGTAGAGGTTGTGGCAGCTGAGGCTCTTAGTGTACCTGGGACCTGGTTCTTGGCTCTCAGCTACTGTATAGGCATAATTAAGGTGACATTCTGCTGTCCCTCTGTTTGCTGGCTGTGGTGTGGTCTGTGTCACCCACCCCAAAGGAGGCCCAGCGGAAATAAAGCACTATCACTGTGGAAGAGGGGAGTACCTCCTTCACCTCCTCTTTGTGTCCCCAGATCAGCTCCTACCCCACCTTTCCCCCTGCTTCTTTCCCCCAATCTGAGGCATCTGTTGAAAACCATCTCATATTCTAGAAGAGCAGTCCCCTTCTCCTGATCAGCATATCGAGTTAAATTTTGTATTAAAGGGCTCTTTCCTTCCCCACTTCCTATATGAGGACCCAACTGGAGTAGGCACAGGTCTAAGAAGGTCTTTTCTCCAGAGTTGTTTTCCAGCTGTGCCTGTTCCCTTCCTCAGGATCTGTGAAAGATGGCCTTTCCCCCTGGGAAGTGTTCTCCCACTTCCACCCCTTTTATATCCTGCCTTGTAGGCTGTGGCCGACAGCAGTGTTATCCCAAGCCACTTCAGGGTGAGGTGAGCCATCGAGACTCTGGCCACCCTCTGTGTGACTTCACACTGCATCGTACTTGTGGCTAGATCATCTTGTGGGAGGAGTCTCATCATTCTGTAGACTCAAAAGTTTACCCCGGGGGCTGGCTGCTCAATTTCTTCCTCTCCTATCCTGCCATACGCCATCACACTCCTGCTTAGCAGGATGCCTATGGCTATTTCCTAGCACCTTACTCCTCTAGGGCTGTGAGAAAAAAGATGATATATTTGCTCCACAGCTGCTGCTTTGCTTCTGTGAAGACAACCTTCACCCAGAGACAAAAAGGGGTATTGGCAATCAGCACCTTCTCAGGCAGCTAAGAGGCCATTTTTCACAATTTTTTTTCATCCACTTAATTCAAACTGTTTAAAAACCATCATGAAGGGCTGGTGAGATGGCTCAGTGGTCTAAAGCACCTACTTAGAACAAGCTAAGCTAAGCAAAAGCACAGGGACCGCGGTTCAATCCCCAGCACCATATGCCAGCCAGCCCCGCCCCCTGGTGGGCTGAGCTGACCACACACACACTAAAAATAAATAAGTAAATAAATAAATAAATAAATTTTTTTAAAAAATAAAAACCATCATGAATTATGAGAAAGTTCAGTAGCTATTTTCCTAAAGTGTGTGCAGAGCCCAGGTTTGATTACCCTGTGCTCAGTGAACTGATGGGCCTAGGTGCACATTAAAAAGTAAATGACACAGGGGAGATAGCTTAGCGGTCTGAGCGCCTGCCTGGCAAACACAAGGACCTGAGTTCAATCCCTGGCACCATATGTCATGCCAGCCCCAGAACCTGGACGCATCTTGCTGATGGTGTAGGGGCACATGCCTGTAATCCCAGCACTGGGGAGGCTGAAACAGAAGGATCACTATTGAGTCTGAGTTTCATAGCAAGAACCTGTACCAAATAAATAAGTTTTTAAAGAGTAAATGACACAGACACTGGCTTTGACTCTAATCCACTTACTTCCTAGTCCCCTTTTCTGCAGGTACCTGTGTGCAGATCCCAGGCCACAGTTACAGGTATCTGCTTTCTCTTTGCATCTACAAGAGTTTCCTCCATGTTCCAGCCCTCAGTGCATCAGTCCACTATGCATGGATCAGTCTTGGTGACATACAAGCAGATCATAAGATAGATAAATGATTGTGCCAGCCCCAGCAATTGTCAGATGAAGAATGCTCAGATACAGTTTGGAGGGGACATCAGGAGCTTGGACTTCATGCACTCTGTGCTGCCTCAAGCCCTATTGTATGATAGCCTCTGTCTTATGCTTGGAGCTTCCAGACCCTATGTGTCATTCCTATCATTCACTGGATACATGCAGAATTTATAACCACACAGCCTCTGAAGAGCCTATCTGATGTCATTTACTTTATACAGATTTTTCTCTCGTTTAGGGAGACCAGAGGTGCTGGCCTGACAGCACTGCTTTGACACCTACAAACCAGAGTCCCTACTACCCACCACAATTCCATATCACAGTCCAGTGTTCTCTTATCACTAGCCATAGTTCTTATCAAATTCATTGAGGAATTTTTTGATTACAAAACGATTGACCTAAAAATCATGACTTTTTCAGATTATTTATATATATACATTTAGCAAGGAAGCAACTGAGTGTTTAAAAGTATTTCATTGTTTCTGTTAGAATTTTGGCCCTTCATATATTCCTAAGTACTCAAAGTAAGATTTATAAGAGGGCTGGGAAGTTACTCAGTGATGGAGCATGCCTGCTATATGCAAGGTCCTGGGTTCTGTCTCCAATATCAATAAAAGGGGCTGTGGGGATTAGGGTGAGCATCCTTAATCTGGAAATCTAAAAGCCCAAGATGTTCCAAAATCTGAAATTAAAAAATTTTGAGTGCCAACCTAGGCTCTGAATTTTTGAATAAATTCAGGCTTTGTAATATAAGGCATATGTGAAACATTTATAAACAATTTCATGTTTAGACTTGGATCCCATCCTTAAAATATATAGATATATGTATCTTATATATGCAGATCTATATATCAATTATGTCAGAATTTTAAAAATCCAGACTTAGGAAACCTAATTGAAGCATTTTAGATAAGGGATATTGAGTCCATAGTTATGTACACTGACTGAGAAGCCATGTATAAACCAAGCAGTGAAGATAACTCTGAGAAGTGGGGCCTAAGGTCCCAGCCCTGTTCTAGGCCTTGTGTCTGCAGACCTGGCTGGGACCTCAGATGTCTACAGCCCTAGTGTAATGTAAAGTCAAGGAGAGGAGAAGGCTCTGGAGAAAGTCACCTTGTAGGATTCAGCAATGGGACAATTTGCCCTGCCAGTGAGGAACAGTAATTAAGGTCTTTGACAGTTCAGCAAGTAGGTTGCAGTGAGGTTGAGCCTATATCTAAAAGTAAGGAAATACTGACTGAAGGTTCAAGATGGCCCCGTAAGCAATGCAGGGCTCAGAGACAGATATAAAGCATGGTTATTTGATTCTTGCTATCATTTCTTAAATCCACAGGCAGAAAAATTGGACAGATAGCATAGAATCAGAATTGCGAGGGGGAAAGAAACCCTGTATACTTACAGGGTTTGTATATATGGATATAACTGGGGTACGATCCCTTCCCTGAAGTGGATCTTACTATGGTTTTAGACAGAAAGTATGCCTCTATTCTCAAGATAGCTGCATGTTCTTAACACTCAGAGCTGCAGCTGTGAGGCAGTCTCTTCTTTTTGGTAGTACAAAAACCTAACAAGCCAGCCTTGGGTTTCTTGTAGCTATATATAGCTGTCTTGCCTGATTATAATGCAGCCTCTCTTTTAGGACATCTGTTAAAAAGGTAGTGGAAGCCCTCATTGATTAGTGTTCCTTGCATATTCTCACCCAAGATAGGAAGTAAAGAATCAAGGGAAGCAGAAAGAGATACTTAGCCTATGGACAAGTGAGAGATCAGTGGCCAGTGTAAAGCTCCCCTCTGGCTAGTAGCAGAATAGGCTCCATGTTATCAGAAATGGGCCCTATCCGACCTTAGCCCATAGAAGATGGGTAGGCGCCTCCCAGCTAGGTTACCCCACATCCTTCAGTGACCTCAGCTCCTTGCAGCTAGCAGACCTATCATCCCTGTTTGTGACAGCATCAAGTGGATCTCACATCGCTCTAAACCAGACACCGCCAATACGAGTGCTCTGTCCTGCTTCCTATTGGTGACACCACACAGGCCTAGGAATAGCCAGTTTAAATCCCACTGTACCCTCTTTACACTCAATACTAGCCTTTCCTATGAAGAATTAGGGTTCAGATCAGCCACAGAAAATAGTTTGTGGTAAAATACCCCTTAGATGCTTAATGCCGCACAGTGAACCTCCACACAGCCTTGGGAGCCTGCTGTCCACTCCAGCCCAGTTTCAGGACAGGTGCATTGAGTGAGTTTTAACCATTGGGTCTGGATAGGCAAGAGTTGCTGCTGGTGGTTCGTTATGCAGGATCCCCAGCTCAGAGACCTAGAGAGAAACCCAGTACACCTCTTTTGCTTCTGCAGGCCACGTGTGAGCGGGGCTTTGCTGCAATGGAGGAGACACACCAAAAAAAGATTGAAGACCTGCAGAGGCAGCACCAGCGGGAGCTGGAGAAGCTGCGGGAGGAAAAGGACCGCCTCCTGGCTGAGGAGACTGCTGCTACCATTTCAGGTGGGGCTGGACCTGAGGATGGCAGGTGGCCCACACCCTAGGCTTGTCCTACAACTCGAAAAAAGGACTGGCTTTTCACTGCCTTGTGGCTGAGATTTAAGCTTCATTTTCAAGAGTAGCTTAACACTTATGGGAAAGGGTTGGTTTGAGGAGCCCTTCAGACCTCCAACCTGAGAGCCTGTGTACTGGGTTTGATGATGCTGGTACACCAGCTCTCAGAAGTGTCTTTTTCTACCTCATCAACTCTGACACTGTGAGCATGGGATGGCTCCAGTCAGAGCATGAAGGTGCCACAGCTCTGCCCTCGTGACACACTTTGTCCTAGACCCCTGACCAAGCACATTTAATCATCTGGTGCTGTCTTTCCTTTTATGTGCTTAATCATTGTATAATGCCTCTTAGTTTAGTGTTAAGAAAACCTGCTTATTTTATAGACTCGTGCTTGAATTTAATATTGACATTTATCTAATCAGTTTGGGTTCTTTCTAACACTAAAAGTAATACACTTTCAATCCCTGTGGGGGGAATGGATTGGGAGTTCTACATCCACCCCAAGAGTGGTTTGTATGGGGCCAGTCTGATAGAGGCCCACTGCAGATTCGGTGGGATTCAGCATCAGCAGTGGACAAATGTTAAGCCTTCCTGTATACTTTGGCCCCACAGAGAGGGAGTGGCATGGTGGGGAGGGCCCCATCAGGTATACAGTTCTATCTTCTGGTACTGAGGGCCATGTCCTGCCCATAGCCATCGAAGCCATGAAGAATGCCCACCGGGAAGAAATGGAGCGTGAGCTGGAAAAGAGCCAGCGGTCCCAAATCAGCAGCATCAACTCAGATATTGAAGCCCTGAGGCGGCAGTACCTGTGAGTGCCCCCAGCCCCACTGCAGCTCTGTGCGTCCCTGGGCTGGTCCCAAAGGAGGCCACAGTGATGAGGGAAACCCAGATCCTTTCTTCTTCAGTGGTAAAGCTGACCTGTATGGGGCTTCCTGTGTTAAAGACAGGCCTCTTAGAATGCAAAGAAAAAAGCACCACAAATGAACAATTTATACATTTTTTCTGCCGTAGGGCTGATAGTAGGGGCCACCCCAGTTGACTATGGGTACTGCCTCAATTTCTTCTAGGAGAGAATGAAGCATCTGGCTGGTGCTCAGTGCTCAGTACTCCATACCTTGTGGCTGTCTGTGGTAGAAATGACCACAGTTACTGTTTTCTAAAACCCTGATCTGTGCCAACTCCTGCATAGGCAGGAGAATGAAAGGTATATACCAAAATGGCACCAGTTGCTTTTGCCTGAGGAGGATTGCCACTGAAGGGATTCCAGACCTAGCCTGGGGAACCAGATTCTTTCCCCAGGAGAATTCGTGACAATTGCCATGGCACCTCAGCTAATGTCCCATGGAGTGGCCGCAGTCACCTGGTTGGAATGGGCTGACTGGGGAGTTGACCCTTTGTATCTGGGGTAGCCAAAGACAACATCTCAGAGGCTAAGCTTTCTGCGTCTTGCATAGAATCTGGGCTTTCAGATGACATAAAAAAGGCAGTCTACTCTGATAGCAAAAAAATATAGGCCTACCTTGGGAGCTACCCACGCCAAGAGAGTCTAGCTTCTCAAGAATCTGAGTGTCGGGCTGGGGAGATAGCTCAGTAGAGTAAGTGCTTGCCTGGCAAGCACAGGTCCTGAGTTCAATCCCCAGTACAAAAAAAAAAAAAAAAGAATCTGAGTGTCTGTTCCCACTGTGCCTAAATTGTGTCTCAACTGGTATCATCAGAGAAATGCTTGCAGGATTCCTGTACTTTGGGCTGTGGGGGAGACCAAAAAGGACCCTGATCTTCAGAGGGATGCTAGCATATAGGGCTGCATGTATTTGTGGTTAGTGTGCCCACTCATCCCTCAGTCCTGGAGTAGAGAGCTGACAGCTTCCCTTTCCCCAGGGAGGAGTTGCAGTCAGTGCAGCGGGAACTGGAGGTCCTCTCAGAGCAGTACTCCCAGAAGTGCTTGGAGAATGCCCACCTGGCCCAGGCACTGGAGGCTGAGCGGCAGGCCCTGCGGCAGTGCCAGCGCGAGAACCAGGAGCTCAACGCCCACAACCAGGTGAGCCCAAGGCCAGGCCTCACTTCAAGTACCCCAAGGATCCCTGAGCCATGTAGTATCTGACAGCTCTTGGCATGTTACCAGAAATTTTCTACAGGTGGCCAGAGAGGCTGCCCTATGTATATCTGTTAGAACCTGGGGTCACTCTTACTTCAGCCCTTTCTGAGATAAAAGTCTAATGGGTGTCTGAATCTGGCTCATGTCTTATAGGGCCTGGATACTCACCCATGAGATCGCTCTTAGAATCTATTGCTCAAGAAGATGAGGTACATTAAATCCTGTGTTTGAGTTAGTGACATGGAGTTTGGTGTGAGCCCTCTGTGGGGCCTCAGAACTGGGTGTGAGACTGCTCAGGAAGGACCAGGTCCACCTGACCACTGGAGCGGCTTTAAGATGACCACTCCTCACCAGGAGGGAAGGTCCAGAAAGGGGTAGCAGGGTGACCAAGTCCAGTAGAAACTCATGGGACAAATTGGAGCAAGCACATGCTGTTTGTCATAAAAGAAGGCCAGCAATTGTGGCATCCTCACATAACTCTACAGATGTTGACAGCCCTGTGTCTACAAGTTCTGCATCCACAGTTTAAACCAACTCAAGTGGAAAATATTAAGTAAAGGGGCCAGGGAGAAAGCTCAGTAGACTAATTGCCTGCCTGGCAAGTGTTAGGTCCTGAGTTCAATCCTTGGTACCACAAAAATAAAATAAAATAAAAATTTTATATATACTTTTCCCCCCAAGTCAATCATTCCCTAAACAATACAGTACAATATTTTATACAGCACTGACTCTGTTTTGAGTAATACAAATGATACAGAGATTTGGGTATTTCCCTTTGCAAACCTTCCCTCCCACAGATGAGCAGTCATCTTAAAGCCCTCCACTGGTCAGGTGGACCTGGTCCTGCCTGAGCAGTCTCACACCTAGTCCTGAAGCCCCATAGAGGGCTCATACCAAACTCCACATCACTAACTCAAACCCTGTCATTAGCCAGGATTTAAATGTACCTCAACTTTATATCAGTGCTATGCCATTTTGTATAAGACACTGGACTATCTATGAATTTTGGTACCTTCAAGGAGTCTTGTAATACCAGCCTCAGACATAGTGGGCAGGCACATTGCTCACATGCCTCATGCTTGAGTATTGGCATAATGTTGATGAGAAATGATCTTTACAATTTTTGTTGTGCTGTTTGATTCTGAGACAGCTCTAGGGAGTGTCATATATTTTTGTTACTGTCTCCCAGGAGCTGAATAACCGCCTAGCTGCAGAGATCACACGGTTACGGACCCTACTGACTGGGGACGGCGATGGGGAGGCTGCCGGGTCACCCCTCGCACAGGGAAAGGACGCCTATGAGCTTGAGGTACTGCTGCAAACCAAGCTTGCCCTCCTCAACTCTGCCACATGGGAGTCCCACAGGAAGCAGGATGGGTCTTACAGAAACATTGAAGGGACATGACTTGAAGATCAGGGCCAGAGGTGTAGCCGAGTGGAAGAGTGCTTACCCAGCATGTTCAGTATTCTGGGTTCCCATCTCTAGCACTACAAAGAATTAAAAAGGCTTGGAGAAATCCAAAAATCACCCAAGATGGTAAAAGCGCAATTATCATGAAGTCCACAGGCAGGATCAAAGAGCCCCTCAAGAGGCCATGGGGTGCTGGGGAGATAGCTCAGCAGTCTAAGTACCTGCCTGGCAAGCACAAGGACCTAGTTTCAATCCCCGGTACTGCGCACCATACTGACCCTGCCCCTGGGCGCACTGTACAGGCCACCAAAAACAGGCATGGTGGTACATGCTTATAATCCCAGCTCTGGGAGGCTGAGACAGGAGGATTACATGAGTCTAAGCTATATAGCAAGATCCTGTGCCAAATAAATAAAAACTTTTTAAAAAATTTTTAAAAAGGGCTGGGGAGATGGCTCTGTGGAATAAGTGCTTCCCTGGCAAGCACAAGGGCCTGAGTTCAATCCCCAGTTCCGCCAAAAATAAATAAATAAAGAGGTCATGGAAAACTTAACCCATCCCCCACTCCAGCTGCCTGCTAGCCCCAGTCTCATTTCTGGCATATCTTAGATACTGGATCTGTAAAATCATCCATTGCATAGCTATGTTAGTGCTGTAGCTACTCAAGGATATGTTACATTCTACTTCTCAGGCAAGTGCACGTATAAGATGATTCTGATGTTTAAGATGTCCTCTTTGAAAAGCATGTGGATTTCTACCCCCTTAGATTACAGTTTCATCTTTAAAAATGTCTTATTCATGAGTACTTTACTGACAAGGTGGACAGGAAAAGTCTGAGCCAACCTGACTAAAGTTGGCATAGCATTTCCTAAACCTTGATAGTTCCATCTCAGGAGATCAGCAGGTTGCCAGTGACAGCTCTTGATGGCGCCCCCAGGCTGATGCAAGGGTTTTCAGGATAAGGAGGCATGGTAATAGGTTCTTCCTTCCTGTTTCTACATGTAATGTGGAAGTGTAGAGCAGTACTGAAATTATGTTTCCACCTGGACATTGTAAGGGTGGGCATGCTTTTGCTCCCCTACCAGAGGTGGGGGGAGGGTGCACTGTCCAGTTGCTTTAGTCTGTGTTCTGAGACACTGGAGGGTCCTAGGATCCCTGATTTCTCTCACATTGTAGGTCTTATTGCGGGTTAAGGAATCAGAAATACAGTATCTGAAACAGGAAATCAGCTCTCTCAAGGATGAGCTCCAGACAGCACTACGGGTAAGAGCTACTCCAAGGGAGGGTGGGTCTTGGGCATGCTGTAGACCTTGTGGCTCTATGTTGACTGCTTTAGAGTAGATCCCACTTCTATGAGGGTAACATCCTCAAAGTCAGGTTCTCTTTAAGATACCATACTCCAAGCAGGTTCTCTGGAAATGGTAGCCCATAGGCTGGCCATATGGTCCTCATCACATGTGTTTCCTGTGTAGATTGGTGGGAATAATGAAACCCAGAGGATCATCCTGGGTATAAAGCAAGTCCTGATTTGCCATTCAGATCAGGTCTAACATGTCTTCTGCAGATGGCTCCTGGAATGATAAAAGGAGGTGATAGATTCCTTGGTGGCCAATTAGTCATTTAGAAAAACCAGGGTAGTGGGTGTTATCCTAGCTGGAGCCCACAAAGAAGGTTGCTAGGCAGTCAAGGTCACCTAGGCTACTGGCCCTATACTTCTGTGTGCACTGGCTGCAGAATTCTGGTACCACATATAGACAGAGAATATGCCATGCCTACATCCACAGACCTCGCTTGTTTTCTTTTGTGTCCAGTTGTCCAGTTGCTGCCTCTGGGAGTTGCAGGCCCACACATTCTCGCCCTGTGCAAAGCCAGGGCAAGGCCCAAGTCACAGGCAGTTCTCCTACATTGTGTCAGTGCTAAAAATGGGCAGACTGGGACAAATATGAACCTCTTCCCCTGTTTATAATACTGTTTGATTCTTTGTTCCTAGGACAAAAAATATGCTAGTGACAAATACAAAGACATTTACACAGAACTCAGCATTGCGAAGGCCAAGGCAGACTGTGATATTAGCAGGTTGAAAGAGCAGCTAAAAGCAGCTACAGAAGCACTGGGGGAAAAGTCCCCTGAGAGCACTGCTGTGGCAGGATATGGTGAGTACTTAAGAGCTTTCCTGGGATTAGATGCAGACCCAGCAGTCAAATGCATGTTAATCCTATATCCCTTAATAAATAGAGGTACATTAGTGAGGACTTCTTCCCACACTGCTCCTGGCTACACATGTGCATAATGCACCAGGCTTTTTTTTTTTTCTCAGTTGTCCAGGCTGACCTCAAAATTTCGATCTACCTGCCTCTGCCTCCGGAGTAGTTGGGATTACAAACAAGGATGCAGCACCACCACAGGGCACATGTTGACTTTTTAAAAAGCTATTTAGGCTCCTTACTAGTCAAAAAACTCAAGTTCCTCTATCAGCTAGCCAACGATTAGTGGCAGTAGCAGTATTAACACATACTTGGAGGAAGTCTTATGCATTGCTGATGGGAGTATAAATTAGCATTCTTTCTGCAGAGCAACTCTGAAAAGGTAACAGTTATTGTTTCCGAGGAAGAATCCAAGGCATCTAGGGCACAGGGAGAAAGGAAAACCTAGAATTATAGGGAAGTGTAAATGCCTTTGACCTGTCAGATAACTTCAGAAAAAACAGTTACACAGAAAGAAGCAAACAGGTTATTGAGCATCTGTACACAAGAGTGGAAAGCAGTAGTATTCCACTGTAGGAAACAAACTGAGGACTGTGGGCTAAAGCACAGCCGTATAGCAGTTTTCTAGAGAAGCCAGATAGATATTTGTATTTTGACATGAGAAGAAATCCATAAATATTTTAAATTTAAGGAAAAAAATAGGCTTGAGGGCCAGCCAAATAGCTCAGTAGATTAAGTGCCTGCTTAGGTAGATGCAGGGGCTGGGGGTTTGATCCCGCCCCCAGGGTGAACTGAGACTGAGACTGAGACTAGGCGTTGTGTCGCATACCTATAATCCCAGTGCTGGCTATAATCCCAGGGAGGCTGTAAAATAGGAGGATCAGTACGAGTCCAGTCTACATAGTAAGACCCTGGGGCTGGAGAGATGGCTCAGTGGTCTAAAGCACCTACTTAGAACAAGCTTGGCAAATCAGAGGGACCACGGTTTGATCCCCCAGCACCACATGCCAGCCAGCCCGCCCCCTGGTGGGCTGAGCTGGCCA